CTTTGCTGTAAATATTTCTACTTATTTTATTATTTGCTTTTATTGCTATAAATTCATATATTTTTATCTGCAAATATATATATGTATGTATGTATATAAATATATAAAAATAAACGTTAATGTGCTGGGAATTACATACTTATGCGTTTGAAGCCTTGATGTCAAACCGAATAATAATACTAATGACGTAATGTGGATAGTAATAGATTCGTATTGCTTTATTGTTTATTAAAGTATTAACTATATTTTGCCTTTTACCGGAAACGCAGAAAACAATTAAAAACTATCGTTTTCGAATAAGTATTATATGCACTATATGCCTATAAAGTACAATTCTGAAAATATTAAATGTACACTTTAGACATTGTTATGATTTTATTATATATAAATAAGATTTAGATAAAAATAGACAATTCGAAAATTTCATTCCTTTGTCATGTTCGGTAATGGTGAGATCCGATACAATCACTTATCAAGTTATATCTTAAGGAGATATTTAGCATAACTGTGACGTATAAATATCCAACTTCGTTACTAACGATCGGTGCAGATATAATCAATGAAAATTACTATATTTTAAAAATGCATTCCACAAATATATATATATAATCTCTATTCCTAAAGGTAGTCATTATTTTACCACAGGTACTGGATATGGATGTGTATAAATTAACGAAGATTTTTTGAAAATGCTTCGTTGGATAGTATTTTTGATTCTAATATGATTTGCTGATATTATCCTCCATTTATTCTAAATTCTACGTATACGTATACTGGTGAAGATAATTAAAATTTCCAGGTTTACAACATATTCGAGTTAGTGAGTTACAGCTCATTTCAGAGAAAGTAAGTTATTCATTTTTCGTACGCCTTTTTTGTTTTATTCACTGTCATCATTATAATTTCGTTCGTTCATTCTCCAATATTGACCTAGGCTTCGCCATTAACTACCATATTCAATATACACATATTTGAGTGTGCCAAAGTGTTAAATTGATATATTATACACTGTTTTAAATTTTGATTCCTTTTTACGCCAATGATGGAAATAATTTATTTTTATTTATTTTATACTATAGTGAAGATAGTTATATCCAATTATAATAGAAAACAAAGAAAATGTAAATATATTCTTGATTTAAGTAATAAGCTTGAATAACCTATATATTTAAAAAATAAATCTAATGTGTTGTTGTTGCAGTTGGAAATAAATGAGCATATTCTGCTAATTTATTTGCAACTACATAGAAATAAAAGGAACAGATTAGATATATTTCTATCTGCGTCAAATTTAAATGAGTATGATGCAAATTGGGGCATAACATAAAGTACCTAGCAAAGGACTCGTGGTTAACCGGTTTCTTTTAACCAATGGCAGAAATACCTGTCGAAGTCGTTAACTACTGTTGCCGCATGAAGACGAAGTTTCATTAGACGTTAAAGTATCAACCTACTTACTCAGGTGTAACCGAGTCACTTTAAGAATAAAAATTAATGTATCAGAGACATGTCGTTTCTAAATTTTACTGACAAACATATAAACTTTATCTGTTTTTCAGTAAAATTTAGGAACGACATTTGTTTTGTTTGGACTATTTATGCAAATGTTGACAGTTAAGTTTAAAATTTAAAGAATAAAAAAATAAAAACAAACTTTCAATAAATAAGTACATATACTCGAAAGTATTGTCTCTAATTAATAATTATGTGAATTGGAATTAATCAAACATATTCGACTTATATGTATCACCTAAATTAAATTTTATAATGTTTGGCACCCTTCTCAATTCGGATTTATGTGCCTAATGATACACATTCAAATCCTATCACATTTTTATTTAATTTTATTATTAAACAAAATCGCGAATCGTTATTACGCGATCAATGTTTTATATAGTTTTAATTATGTTCTTATATACGCTATATCTTATACCGTTCATTACCCTCTAATCCGTCACCGACAACATACCCACACCTATTTATAGATATATATAAAATTTTACTAACTTTTTGACGTAAAAGTTACATATGATATTTATAATAAAATATAGGATAGATAAATAAATAATATTATGCCTGTCGTATTAAATCTCCATGAGTTGATGATTCCCTCAAGATTAAAATTAATTAATTGATTAATAGGTATAACTTTATAAGAAATAGAAATAGGTAATATATTTGAATGCAATAATATGAACACAGTGCGAACAGAAGCGTCATTGTAACCATACATGAGAAGGAAGAGTGCATTGGATGTGTGAACACTGTGAACCAATATAGACACAATCAATGATGCAACATGTAGTCAAATATCATTCACTACTTTGAAGTGCCTGATTTAGACAACAGACTAGAACGTATTTTTTTACAATAATCAGAATACAAAAATTAATTCACAAACATAAGATGAGAGTTAGCTTGCAAATTTCAAAGTAAACCGATAGTTACAAGATGCACAATATTATGGCAGGTGGTCAGTATTATCAACTCGCCATATTAGGTGTCAAAGGAGACAGCATGCAATGCATTTCTGAATTTTCTAAATTAAATAATCTTCCTGTTTCGTTCTTCTTGAATTCGACAATTCCTAGGAATAATGTTAGGCCGATGCTTAACACTTACAAGTTTTACTCTAATTGGGTGATTATAGTGAGAATTAGACATAGTTAAACGTTAATTCCTTTAAGTGATAAGAAGCTCATGGATCAGTTCAGATCAGCGTGCGTCGGCGAGGCGCGGACGGGCGGCGAGCGGCGAGCTGCGGTGGTGCGGCCGCGCCGCTTGTGGCAAGCCGCTCTCGAATACGCTACGCGGCTCTAACGTTAATCAAATCTCTTATTAACGCCCGGAAAACAGCTGGTACTGCAAGCAACCATAATAAAAGTGATTAAAATCAAAGCGCGTGCGAGGCCGGAGGTCGCGGCCGAGTCGCTGCCGCCGCGGCGCCGTGCGGCCCCCGCCCGCCCGCTCCACTACGCTACCAAGCTCTACGTCTACGTGCTGGCGTCAAGTCCAACTAACGTTTCAATGTTAATCGCCTAAATACTGAACAAACCATTTAATCAAATACTACACAATCCAAGTATGTTTAAGTGAAGCCAAAGCAAACTAAATAACTAAGCTTAGAGAGCTTCCGATTTAGATCTGATTATTAGTTATGTACGAGTTATATGACTGCACACGAGTAAAGTTAAGGATTGTGTTCATACGTGGTATTAATGGCCGCATTTATTTTATTTCTGAACTGAAAAGAACGTAACGTAATAAACAAAATAATAATCCAATATGTAATAAACTTTAGAAAGATATTTTGTCTGGCTCTACTAGTTAAATCAATTAGATTTTATCCTTTTAATTTTGATAAGAGTACGTCCAATAAGTATAATGGTTAATAATGCCAAGTAATATGTATACAACTTTGTTTAACGACATAACAAAACACCTGAGATAGTTTCTATTTGATGGCAGATTATTACATTGGTATTAAGAACAGTTCGCTTTGAAGAAACAATAATTTAAATTCACTAATAGTACTATTTCTCTTTTTTGAAAATTTACGATCTATACGCACGGAAACAAGCGTAAGCAGAGCATGCGTTCATGATTTTCTATGATAGTGTGCTCCTGACGGGCTTATAAATTTGTTGCATAATTTTGACAAGGAATCGCGGATATGGTCTATTGCGACGACCATCAACCATGCAAATGCGCAGTAAAGAAATCTCGTGCTGTCTTTGTAATTCACGATGAGCCTCCAAGCGTTAATCGTTCCAAAAATCAAAAAACTATATCTACATTCTTGTATATCAGATTAAATTGTTAAAATATATAATATTATATTTTATATAAGTAATCTTGAAGGAACCTTCGTAGTAGATATACATATCTGAGATTATTAAACTATAGATATATAATAAAATTAAGATACGAAACATAATAACGTCTATTTCAACTGAGGATAATATACATACGTCATTTTACTTGCTGTTATTAGAATTCAACGTAACGTAAGTAAGATATGATATGAGTAGATTACCCATACTTATGAATACAGACTCAGAATTTGATTTATATGACGTTTAGAATTCAGTAAGTGGTTGAACAAATGCCTAAATGCCGTGTACCTACCACTTACCAATTGCCTACCTCCATCATTTATTATTAATTCAAAAAATAATACGAATGTGTAATAAATACAGAAATAATTAAATTAATAAATAGATACATTTGGCACGAACTTTTTAATATTTATAGCCAATATTTTTTTAATTGCCTACAAGATGTAGACATCGTAACTTTCATTAATAACAGAAGGAGTTAAACTCTAAAATAGTATCTAATAAATATAACAATACCATATCACAGCACCATTTTACAACATCTTTCTGTATTCTATCAGTTTGGTAACATTCTTCTTTATATTAAAATTTATTTCCTTAATTTACACACAATTGGACACTTTACTCATAATATTTTTAACGAGCGACGAAGAAGTGATATGTCCACAATTTACCAATTAAAGCTTACAGTTCTTCATTCCAAACATTTGCTGGCATACTTTTAAAGCAAATATAAATGATTAATTCGTAAGCGACACCAGTCTTGTACTTAACAGAAAATGAATCTTCACAAAGAGAAAAAAAAACAATAGTTTTTTTTATCTAAAAAACTAATTGCAAAGTAAATCTAAATAAATTTAATATTAAGTACAACATCAATAAGATAAACTACATGGAGGGATCGGACGGGGATCGCCAATAAAGGCAAATCAAATTATCATTGTAAGTTAAAGTGAGAATCAGCGAAGTGTCGACGTTTGTTGTTGCCAAGTGACCAAGGTGTGGCGTGACATTGGTGCGGCACCGTAGCGATGTGGCGGCGGTAGTAAGCGGCTCGCTATTTCCGCGACACTGAAGTGATATTGTTATAGAGCAAGAAATGGACTAGAGCGCTCCTTTCGACGACAGTGTGAAGGCGCTCTTATGCAGCTACGAGAGCGTTCAGCGTGTAAGAGTTATGTTCAGTGAGGGGCACTTCCTGACTGCAGCGTTATTCATCGCATTGTAGGTGGCAGCGCTTGCACCTTGGAACGGCCAGTGAGGAGCGTGTACCTGCACATTTCCAGCAGAGCCGATAGGTAGGTGTCTTACCATGCCGCTGCTTAGCTGTTGCAGCAGACCTGAGCCCTGAGAGTTGCTGAGGCAAGTAGATGGGCGGCGTGAACGAATCGACTGCATGGATGATGTCAGCAGGAATGGCACACTCGACGAAGTGTTGGGCATGGAACCTCCCTGTATGTGATATAACAATTATTTACCATTTCGTTATTGTTAATTAAAAGCCGTAGTAATCGGAATCGTAAACAAGTACGACTGATCACAATTCAAATAGTAGCTAATAGGTATTTAAAATGAAATATTGGCGAAATTGTTTATATCAATTTTTCAATTATAGACATTATTAATGTTGAAATAGTGACGTTCTATTTTTATCAATTGTTTAATTCGTAATTAAGAAATAATTTATTCTATTGTTTCATGTATTTTATATGTGCATATACCTAACGTAGAATATAAAATAAAAATGTTAAATATTACTTGTTGAAGAATCCGTAATGTATCGGACGCAGTTAGTATTCTTAAGTACTGCATGCCTTAATATTTATTGTACTTATATAGGATGTAGTTAGTTATTGCGTTCAAAAGCGTGTTGGGTTCATGAAATTTCTTGTGAATTAGAAATACTCAACTACACTACTCGATATAAAATAGAGTAATCACGGACATGTTGCCAAGTTATAAGACTCTTTATAACAACCTGTTCTAAAATCTAAAAGTCTAAAACGTTTAATTTATTTAGTGTAAAGCAACATCTTAGTGCAGCAACTAAACGTAACTAAAGTTTCACTATTGCAGAAAGAGATAGATGTGACTCAAGTCTGCGTTGTCCGCGACATGTAAGAGAGGAACCATACTCACGATCATGCTCCGTGCAAGCTGCGTAGAAGAACAAATAGCAACAGTGAATGAGACAGCGTTATACGTTCGGCAAAGAGCCCCAACATGAATGAAGAAATGATCTTACTTGCGTTTATTTCACATCCAACATTTAACATTAACCTAATCAACGTCTGTAATCAATAACACCTACCGTGCGTTTTTTTAAAAGAAAATCTAATAATAAATCATAAACCTGTCAGTAGCATAGAAACAAGAGGTCGGCATGTCATATAGAACTCTTTTATTCTATCACCAATGAAATAAGCGTGATAATAGGTTAATTACATATAAGATATAATTCTTATATTCGATTTATTCTAAAAGTCTGCAGTTAGTACGTTATTTCTATGCAACTTGCTGCCTTTGTTTATTTCTATGGTCAATAGTGTACTTCTCATATTAAAATTTTCTAAAAGATAATTTGGAATAAAATTATTTTACAAATATTTTTCCTTATTGTAGTTTTACCAATCTCTCAGCCAATTATGTTTTCCAAGACAGAGCAGACAACAGAGAACCGCATGGGTTCACCGCAGGTGCACTCGTTCCTTGGACACAACAATAGCATCAACCAGAGAGCAGCGCGAATGCGCTATTCCCTTAGTTTAGCTTTTTAAGACACATTTGACGCTGTAAGCGTTCATGTTCATGCAACGCGAACAAGACAATATCGTTATGAAACATGCACCACTTCATTTCTCTTGAAGGTTGTTTTTGCCTGTTGGTAATCTCGCAGGAATGGAAGTAATAGCGTTGATAAATGTAATGCAATGAAAGGTCTAATGATCGGATAGAGACAGTTCGTAACGTGATAGACGCCATCCAGGTTCGTGCAGATGTAACGTGTATGGTGATGATGTGACAATGAGATACTATCTCTCCCAGTCGGTGTGGGAAGAAGACGCGAACGCGCAGAAGAGACAGATCACATCAATGTTAAGCCGTTCCAAGTCGACACTTAATAGAGGGTTTGGGGATATCACGCAGCCAGGCAGGCATACGCGGTGAACATCACTTACGACGCATTGTGACGTTGAAGGCACGGACAGGCTCGAGCCTGACCCGCCTCGTCCCCTGTACTGGTAGGCCTGCCAAAACAACCACCATCACTTCACCTTTATCACGTTTTCAACCATCCGCACTCCACCGTCAGTGAGACACCACTATCTACTGTTTACTCCAATTATTACCGTATTCAATCTACTTTAGGTTTGGATTTTTATTATTTGGAACTACAGGTATGTGTGTATTAGTAAATGTGTAGTAATGATAAATTATTCGAATTTACTTACAGTGGGTGGCGACAAATTCACTGCAGAACCACGGCGTTCCTGGGGGCCAATGCTGGAGTGGCGACGCGCTGGCAATCCAGTACTACCTCCTGGTGTTCCTCCAGGAGATGAGGCGCACGAAGGTGCGATGCGAATCTTAGGTGTCATTAAGGTATTATCCGAAAGACGGCGATTCGGAAAGGCATTTGCCACTCGTAAGAAGTTACTGTCATTATTTGTAGAGTTACTCGAACCGAAGAACCATTGGCCAATTCCAGTACCTGATAAAGGCACACGTAGTATTTGAAATTAGCAAATGTCTGCGACTTAATTACACCGCGGTGATAGATAAAAGATATTGAAAACAGTCTTATAAGTTTGTTTTTGATATCTTTTATTCATGAAACAATAATAGAAATGATGTTGCTAGTAAGTCAGTAATATATAAATAAAAAGAGATTTTGGAATTTAAAAAATGTCAATATCAAATAACTCACTTTATAAAAAAATATAACATAGAATTATTTTGTCTTTTACTCATGTACAACGTACCCTCAACACTTAAAAAAGTATTGATATCCACAGTCGTAACTTACTCCTGAATCCTCCAACGCTGCCAGTAGCACTTGGCGCAGTGACAGAATTCTTACGAGCCATATCTTCAGCACTAGAAGTCTTGCGCTGCTCCACACGCAGGTTCGGTATATTGAATGGAGGAGCTTGCATGTTGTCGGTACTCATCTGATGTCGCAGACGACGATGTCTTTCGGGGCTAGGTAGAGTATAGCCATCTAATTTCAACCTGTATCTTTGATGTTTGTCGATGCTATCCAGCATATCGTAAAGGATCTATAAAAAATATAAGTATATAATAAGTTGGAATACACTATGTGATATTACAAATAATATGAATTAAGTATCAACCTCCATGAGATTCGTGAATTGATCGACGTTCAGTGAAGTATTCACGGTCTGCGGGGCCAGCGATGGTATCATCTTTGTCGCCATAACGCATGTGTTGAGATTAAACTTTCTTTCTACCAACATCGCTTTGTATAGTACTGTAACAAATAGTACATTCGACGAATGTTTCAATAAATTAACATGGAGCAGATCAAAAAATAAAATATACTAAAAATAAAAGAATTCGCCACAACAGAAGAGTAGCACCAGCAAGTTCGCTGTGCAAGAACCTAAAAAGAAGAAAAATATGAATGAAATTAGTAGTATTGTATATATTTGTAATCGCTGTAAGGCATATTTACAATATAAAATATAAATATTTAAGATAAAATGGTTTTAAATAATTAATATGTACTTACTGACAACCCTGTTGACGATATCCGGGTCAGTCAGTCTCATGCTGAGGAGCGTCGGTATCACATTGTCCACAATATGACCTTTCTCAAGACGAAGAAGAATCTTCTCAAAGAATCCAAGTATCAGGCTTATTACTTTGACATCGTTCGGATTCTTCTCAAGGACATCTTTAATTTTCACCAACACAACATTCTGCAGAGAGTTGTCGTCTATGTAATCAGAAACGTTCTGAAGAGCGATCAAAGAAGATGTCTGCAAAGATTGATTCTGTTTTAGTTATGTATTTAATATACTTATGTAATATTTAATTATAACATTTGAATTGTATATATTTATTAAAGTAGATACGTTATAACTTAGAATAATTTACTATTTTACATTTCAAGATTTATACGAGTAAAGAAAGAAAGAGTACACAAAGGTTTTTCTGTCAGCGCAGATGTTTTGATTATTAGGTTGAAGTTTGCATCTCACCGTTGAATCAAAATAAACACAAATAGTGCACGTACTGTATCTTTATGGTAGAAATAAGTAAACATTACATACCAACTACGTTATTCAAAATGGTGACATTTGGAATTTAATATTAAAGATATATATAACAAAGTATTAACCTGTATTTGGTTTGCGCTGTTTTCAAGTGAAGAGTACAGAAATGGCAGAACTTCATTCGTGAGTTCCTCCTTCAGACACTTCCTCAGGATTACATGCAGATTCTCTAAAATGATCACCGATGCCTGGACGCTTCTAGGAGAATTCAGTAGGTTTCTAAAACAAATTCTGTTTTAAGTCATTAAACAATCTAGTCAACATTTCATTTGGGTATAATATATATGTATAATAATTTGCCTTATTTTACACATTATTTAATGTGTAAAATAAGGCAAAATTATAATAATTTAACTAAACTTACAATTACGTAAATAGTGTTATAATGTTACATAAAATGATGGCATCAATAGTAAATCACAGAACTCCGTAATTTACTATTGATGCGATGAGTTCGTATGAATTCTAGGTAAACTTCGTGAAGTTATTTTTATGGGCAGGCTTGCTTTGTAAGATTTATTTGGGTCTGAGAGTGATAATAAGGTAGTGGAATCAAAGCACACAGTTACATGTATACCGTATTATTAGTCTTGCGGAATGGCAATATATGAATACAACGGATATCAGGTAGGCCCCCCCATCCCCTTATATCCCCTTGTTTGCCATTCCAATTTAAAAAAAAAACTTTAGTTAATTTAAACATAAAAAAATTAAATAAATGTTTATTCATGTAATTTTAGTAAGTTTTTATAATTGAACCCATACCAAAATTACAGATCTGATTATTTGAAACACTATGAACGACAAACAAAAATTATTTATTAAATAAATGTTTGTACCAATCGTATTCATTTCTTACTAGAAATTGTCCGAATATTTGGTCGAAATTTTAGGTTTCTTTTTTTGAAGCAATTAAATAATATGTTACATAAATGAATTTCTTATAAGCATAATGGGTAAGTAGGAATCTCACTTACCAAAATCAGTTAGCAAAGGGTTATTAAGAGAGTTGCACAAATACATAATTCACTATTTGTATTTAGAAATGTTATTCGAGTGAAAGTGTTCATGTATATGAAATAAATAAAATAATAATAAATATATTCAGAAAATATACATTTACTTACACAAATGTGACACACAGAAACAAGATACTTAAAATATACTCGTAAATTCGTAACACAATACAATGCAAAAACGAAATCAAGAATATAATAGCATCATAAGAGTTAATTTAAAAATAAAACAAAAACATACTATCTATAAGACAAAGGAAAATTTGTAAGTGTCTAGGTTTGTGCTCAGCATAGTGCTGCAACGTTTACGATGGCGCTACAGCACTATTTTTCAGCACAAAAAAGTATACAGGCGATGCTCACCATCTACCATTAGGTGGATGACAGTTAAGGGGGTCTTCCTATGTGATGGGTTGAAAAAATTGTTTTTTTTTTTTTTCATAAATTGCTCCCTTAACATGTCTAGAATACGGTAGTAAAGCGATTTTAGAAAATTCGAAGTCGTTTTAAAGATACAGCAGGTAAAAGAAAGAGCGGTTCGGAGCGGTGAGTTGGCAGTTAGAGACCGGGCCTATTGTGTACCGTCGGCTTTATACCTGGCCTCCCTTTTATTAATATATTTGTTTATACAAGTTTAGACACGTTTCTACAGACTTAAACAGAAAAGGAGCAGGTAAACTTACTGATAAAGTTATCCAAGAAATTACAAAATTCTACGGATTAGCAATTCGACGCCATCCAGATTCGCTTGAAGATATGAGAAAGGAAGTTTGGGCAACGTACTATCACAAATGTTCTTCTGATGAAAACCCTCAGCATCAATTTTGTCCAGAAGGCGAAGACAGTTGGTGTAAATGGCGTAAGGCTGAAGCTAATAATGAACTGGACCAATTTCATCACGATAAACCACCTCTAATTCCGCAAGTCCAAGAAGCTATCAAACCGGTTTTCGAAGATTTATCGAAAGACGAATTATTAATTCGTTGTTTAGGAGCAGAGACACAAAACAATAACGAATCTTTGAATTCTTTGATTTGGACTTTCGCTCCTAAACATCTTCATTCTGGTCCCAAAGTTGTTGAAATTGCTAGCTACTTAGCAGTTATTATCTTTAATGAAGGTTTTCAAGGTATTTTAAAAGTTATGTCGATTATGGGATGCCCTGTTGGTCGTGAAGCCCAAGCGTATGTTGAGAAACGGGATGAAAAGCGAATCTTACGCTCTGAGCGGCGCGTAAGTGATGTCGTTAAACAAGCCAGGATTGACTCAAGAGCTGAACAATCTGCTTTAAAAGAGTTTCACGAGGAAGAGGAAGGAATACTCTATGGACCAGGCATCGCCGATTGAGAGTAAGTTGATATTTTAATAGTTTTTAACGGACTTGAAACTTTAAACGCGTTTTTCTCAAAACTGTGTTTTTCAAACTTTCCTCCATTGTATCTCAGAAAAGGCTGGACCGAATTACTTGAAATTTACAGGGCACACTCAATATATGTAAACGCATGGAATGAACTATTATCAATCGAAAATTTTCAAAACTTCGATTTTTTTATAGCAAAAAACAAAAAAAAAAACGCCTAATTTGCAACTTTTATTTCAAATGTCTATCAAAAATCCAATTTTTTTTATATTCATTTGATTATAGGTCATTCCGTGCTTTTAAGCCTACAAATTAAAACGCCGTTTTTTTTTTTTTTTCAGATAAGCCGATCAGCCGGAATCGTGGAGGAAGTGGGAGCTCTTTTTTTTCGAGGCGGGGGTGTTCAGAGCGCTGTAACTCTAGTTTGACTGAATATTTTTAGCTGAAATTTTATATTTATACTGTCCAAATATGTGTTAATAAATGATAAAAAACTTGAAGCTCTAAATATTTACTGGTCGTAGAAAAAAAATCCTAAAATATCCCTAAAAAACAGGCCGTCACATAGGAAGACCCCCTTAATATGCTATTCCAGCTATACACATAAATACAATAACAGTATAGTTACTATAGTCCTTCAAAAATATTACCAAAGTAGACTAGAGACGACTTTGTACCGGATAAAGTCGTCTGCGTTAGTTACTCTGTCTCATACATTGCAGCTGTCAAGTTGTTTATAAGCTATGTTTGGGTTTTTGAGATATGGCAGAATGAAATATGAAACTGGGGAAACAAGACACCTTAGTGGTTCGGAATAGCAACGAATGAGGCACAGGCGTCAGATGAAGATATGATGTTCGAGGAGGGTACTATTAATGTACATACGCCTAGACTCTGGAAAATAATTACGATCATATCACATTGTAATTATATACTAGCAACATATATATTACATTATTCTTGGTCAATCAATTTAACAAACATTTTTTATCGATTTATTTCGTCTAATTTTGAATAATACAAAAATGGATTTCATTGAACTCAATATTGAAATTATACTCCAGAGCCGATCTGCTGTATTTATTTTTGTATTTTGTAATTATGTTATTACTAGCTTTTGCTCGCGGCTTCGCTCGCGTTAATTTATCGCTTTACCTACCTACGTCATAGTAGCTTTATACATGCAAAATCTCAGCCCGATCGGTTTAAAATTGACAAAGTTTCATACAAACTTTCATCCTTTATTTTATCCCCCTTGTGGGTAAAATTAATCAAAATCCTTTCTACGTCATAAATCTACCTGCATGCCAAATTTCAGCCCGATCCGTCCAGTGGTTTGGGCTAATAATTAACCTAATATATTAACCGCATTCTTGCAAAATTCCTTGTGGAATTTATTCTATTACTACTATTTATGAATATTTGAATCTAACTTGGCAAAAGTGAACCAACCGCCGTCTCTCGGTTTAATTTGATTTTTATTTGGTGGTCATATCATAGGAGAGTCATGAGAATAAAAATTACAATTTTTTTGTGTCGGTCAGAATGGAATTGGATTATTGTGTTTAAGCTGTGACAGTCAATTTTAGGGTAAGACGTTGAGTTTTAACGTTATTAATATTTAATATACACTGCAAATGGTAAGGAATCTTTATGAAGATGTAAAATAAGTAATTTTATAAAGTTAAACTTATTAGATACTTACTTCAGCGTCGGCATAACATAGAGTGAGAATTCTTCCTGTGTGGCTTCGTTGATAAGCCACAGAATGGGTTGTAGAACCGCAGAAAGCACTTCAGCGGTGCGCACCTCGAGCTGCAGGGCTGGCCAGACGTGTTGCCAGCGCAATTTCTGCAATATTACCATTAATTAAAATATGTACATGTGTGCTACAATACGCACATTATACCTAAAAGCGGGGCTTAATCTTATATACAATCGATCTTTTCAATAAATAGTAGTAAAAGTATTTCTTTGTCTAATAATACGTCACATTTACAGTAATTTTCACTACTTTCTATATACTTAGGTAACGAAAGTACAGTCAATGTGACCTATTATATTAAAATATTAAGTACTCGGCTTATATTTCGCTGATGCAATGGGAATAACTTAGAAATATACTCTATTTAAAAAACCTGTTTCATGTTTTAAAACGTGTTTGAATATTTTTGGTTGCTCGGAAATAAGCCGTATCCAGCAATAGCTGAACGGTACTTCAGAAGTGGCAAATAATAATTGCAGGAGATCCTGAAATAAAAGTAACATAGGTAGGTAGATTAATAATTGTTGTATGCGAATGTATAAATAATCAATAATAACCTTCCTAATATCAAAATTGCTGTATTTACCTGTTAATTTATAATTCATGTCTGGAGTGGAACATGAATTGAATGATGCTTAATAATCTTATTGTAATTATTATTATTGCACTATACAGCTAGATCTATTGTCCCTATTTTTAACATATAGGTAATATTTATTTTTTTATTCACGGCACTCAAAATTAATTAGTGATAAATAATGGATCAAAAACGAATCATGATTTATTACTTATACTGAACTTTAATACTTCAAATTTTAAAGAAATTTTTACTGTAAGTCTTTCTGTCTATATGCAAGTCCTCTACTATTGAATCTCGGTCAAATGGAATCGATTTCTATGAATAGTATTTCAGTACTTAATGGTTATTGTTATCACTCTCAACTGTATTGTTTATATAGTATTTTTATGTGTTTTCCTCTATCGATTTTGATGATCCAAGTTTTAATGGAAAATTTTAGTATCGTCTTTACTAATTTTCAATATTTTTCTATATGCTGATTATATTCAGAAGTAGTAGTAGTAGTACATATATATATATATATATATATTTCATACCTTCGGTATATATGGCAGAGCCTCCAGCAGATTGCCCAGGTAGAAGTTGCTCTTAGAATTAGGGTCCTTCATGGTGATTACATCCAGGAACTGCATGGCAAGTATAGCAGTCTCGCTCTGACATCTGTTCATAGAAATAATTTACGAATAATTAGATCATAATATAATTCAAGTAGTACTACAATTTATAAATTGTAATACCATTATGGTAACAACACAAAGTTCCACAAAAGCGACGATCAGTGCATAAACCAACAACTCAAATGGACTTCGGCGTTTTTCAGTTAATATACTAGGGAATTATACTTTATTCACTACAACTTTATCTCGGAAAATGAAACAGTTATGACGCAGCGAGAATCCAATTATTCAGAATTGTGACACGGTCAGAAGTAAGTTTGACAAGTTAATTTATACCTATTAAACTGTCTCACATAACTTATAACAATGTTATAAATTTGTACTAGTATTTTAACTATAGTCATGAAATGTCAAATTATAAGAATATAAAATAGAACTATTGCTAAAAGTTTTGTACCTTAAAACTGCTAACGTTGATAAGGAAATTAGGTAATAATCCCATTTGAAATCTTGTGGGTGTAATAAAATTACTTCATAACTACACTAGCATCCCGTCCTGACTTCGCCCCTTTACAAGGCAATGATATAATATAATTCCTCTAAATTATATTTAGCATATCATCTAAATAATATAATGCACTTTAAATGGTAAGAGAATTTTTCATACGGGTAAGTGCAGTTATGTATTTATGCACACAAACTCACGAATGCATTCTCTTCTCAAGCTTAATAACATTAATTGTTTTAGCGAAAGCTATACTTCCTTATGCATAAGCGAAGCTGGCAAATAACATACCAAGTATTAACTGGAACTGCAGTAGTAGTTTGTTAATCAATTCCTAATTTTTCTTCGTGTCCTACTATATCATAGTAATAGTACTTAAAGTGCAATTTTCTGAAAACTATTTTTCTTGAATATCAAGAAAACAAGCAAACCTACTTTTTAAAAAGAAAATAAAAGAATGGTGGAAATGATTTTAAATCTGCACCAAAAAGCAGAATAATGATAATTTAGCTAACTAAGAAAACTATATATGATAATAATAATTAAAAACCATAATTAAACTATACCATGCCCCCTTCACGATTAAATAAATTAAAGTACCATAAATTTAAATTCCCATGAGAGTATTGAAATATAACGTTTTTTGGAGATATAAATGGCCTTCAGTTACGTTTCAATTTCATGTTCATAAGGACTATATACCTGAGTATGTCGTTTTAATTTTACTTGACACTTTCACACGTTTCCTAGATAAAGGCTCTTGATAGCCGAATGAACAAATAAACAGACGGACAACAAATTAATCCTATAAGGGTTCTGGTTTTTTCGTTTTTAGGATACCAACCTTAAAAACGAGTACATAGTTATTTGTGTACCGTGAAGTACTCATGCAGTTCAGTAATCCACTGATGTGAATAGCTTAAATATGTAATTCTAATTTTGATTGTATGGTATATACATATGTTTTTATATGTTATATTTTATTCTTTATTAACACATTATAAATTATACCTGCTGATAAATACGAATACAATTTTTGAGTTTCGTATTTGTTTAAAAGTTCCATTATATGCGAGAACTGTAAATCTGCGTATTAGTCTTTATACATAGATAACAACGGCGATGACGGTTATGACAAGTATTTAATATAGGTATCGTCAATAATTATATAATTAATTCAATATATCTGAATCTAAACTTTTCTAATTATGTTGCGGTTCTGACTTCTATGCATTTCTGGCATAGGCATTTACAATGTTAATTGCGTAAGCTGCTTATTTCAAAATTATTTACAGCAGTAATAGTATAAGCTTCTTACAATTCATAACATAAACAAGTCAGCCAAAACATAAGCATATATATACAGCATACACAGTTGCCATAGAATAAACATAATCAATTGTAGACTGTTACTTCGGGAACTGCTACAGGTACTAGTCACGGCGGATCTACAATAGATGTAGGTATTAATTGTTATATATAATAATTTACCAAAGGTATATTATTAATAATCATCATGCTTAATAATGTAAGTAGGGGAAACTCGCTTAAAACGTACTTGGTTATAAATTGTATTCTATAATATTTTTTTTATAAATGTTATAAGAAACCAATAGTATGCCATCAAAACTTTTAAGTTTTATTCTGTCCATAATTATTCGAAAAGTAAGGAATTTATAGGTACTGTATTGATACTATATAAGTATGTTGATTTAGATATGTTGCAAGTATAGGGTTATATCAATATACCTAGATTAAATTACTGACGTTAATTGCCAACTACTGTACTGTACTGGAACAAATGCTACAGTAATAATAGAATATAATATAATATGATTATCATGGCACAAGAAAAATATAACTAATACTGTATTGTATAATAATAGTAATACAGAAAGTGACCTTGATAGCTGCAGATAGACGGATTAAAAATTAAATAAATTAGACCCAAAAGTATGGGCTTTTTAAAGAAAAACCTATACCAAGATAAACCTATCTGTAAAAAAGAAAAGTACAAGTGTAAGAAGCAAATGAAAATAAAACCTAAGTTTATAAATTCTATGATGAGAACGGCAAAGTAATAAAGATCCAGTACTCTAAGTTTGTAAAACTAGGTCTCACAGATCTTGATTTCCAAACTTTGTACTGGAAAAATACAAAACTCTTTCTGCAACGTTTTTACTTGAAGAGATAATATTTATAGACGTACTATATACTAACATCTAAAATTGAAGAAACAATTACTTTGTTAATTACCTATGATTAACGAGGTAATTGTTATTATGTTAAAAATAAAAATAAGAAAAATAGCATAGTTCTATTTGTGTCATAGTATGTCCATTGCAAACGAACATCACCAACTTTTCTACCCTTTTTAAATCTTCATATTCTCTTCTCAGTATTTTATTCCGTTATAGTTTATCATTTCTAAATTTGAATGAAAAATGCTGTTGAGTATTCTTTTGAATAAATGTTACATGTTATTTTTATTACGCTTCAAATTATATGTTTCCTTTAGGGAGTACGAATAAGGTAAGTTTCCCCTAAAAGATCACGTTGATTCTTTAACTTGCTCACTTTCAATTTTTAATGCAAGCGAGAAACGATTACACAATAAAGGCAGGCAGATTTAATCTTACTTGAAGTACTTTATCAGAGGCAACAGTTGAGTAGTCGGACGAGGATGTGGGTCCCTGGACAGCAGACGCTGGACAGCTTCCTGCAGCCCAGCGGGGATGCGTGGCAGCACAGCATTGAGTTGATGGTCCAACTATATATGGCCGCAAAGAATCATCAGTAAATTATTTGTTATAAGGACACTATAAAAATTACCATACTTCCAATAAAATGTTAAATACTGATTTCTGGTAAATTCATGTTCTGAATACGTCATGCACAACTAACCATTGTGGTATTTTATTATAACTCGTACAGAATCTTTTAATCATAAGTTAGACTAAATATTTTTAATACTAAGTGCCATTTAATATAAATGTAATCTTTAATTTTACTAAGATATAATGCTACATTTTATTTAGAGTATCAGGGTGTAACAGATATTATAGAAAAGGTATTTTTATTGGCCACATGATTTGAAATTCAAAAGTATAATATTATAATTATGACAAGCAACAATAATTATTTATAATTAGTATAAATATATAATTTTGGTTACATCAATGTTTTAAAGTTATTAGTGTATTGAAATTTGTACTAGGGACTTTTATATACAACAGACAGTACATGGTTATCATGTATCATGGTTGTAAATAATTTTTATGTGGTTAAATAAGCGGTAACTTTCTATTATGTAGACTACATATACCTAATTATATAGTACAATGAATCCGGTAGTCAAAATGTTTGACTATTATAGCATTAATTAACTTAAACATGGTACATACATACATATTATTTGTAATATGAACGGGAGGTAATATATCATTATGAAACTGTCAAAAGCATAATATTGTTTATTAATTAACAAATAGTAATTATTCTATTATTTTGTACATCGTGTATGTGTAATTGAAACTCTTAATTATGTTTATGAGGTCGAAATACTTGATTCCATTTACGATTTTGGGCTATAATATTAAATAGTAATAATTATTCAGTGCTGTAGAGTTCAAAATTATACATATTCTACATTTGGTTTTTCTTTAGACTTTAGGTGTTGCTAACTTGCTTATCTTTTAAGGCAGTAAGAGTTTATAAAAGAAGAATGTTTTATATGTCCTTAATTGTATTATATTCATATTTTGGAAAGTGTGTGAAATGCTTCAGAATGGAATATATTTATTTATTAATTGCTATTATAATAATTAAATGATAAAAAAATGATATTCCTAAAAGTCTATTATAACAGACGTAAGATTCCTAAATCTGAATATGCTAATGGTTTCTTTTAGATATAATAATGCTACAGTCAATTTGCATATTGATTGATACTACTAAATATATATTTAGAACCTTTATTTTAAAGCAGTTTAAATACTTGGGATTTCCATTCAATATACTGTAAGCTATATTAGTGATAAGTGCATATAGGTCATAGGTAGTTGTTACACATAAATGGAACTGCACTTTTATGATTGAAAAAAGATATCAAATATAATAAGCGCACGCTGAAATATGTAAATAGTAATCATACTAAAAGCTTGTACAGTGTCGACTCCGATTACCTTCATTAAACATCATAAAGTACAGATAGATTCGTAGATATAGTACGAGGCATATAAAGTATGGACTAATTATACTATTGGATATAGTTGGTCATTGTTGATAATTCGACGAACTCGGTGGTCTAGCGGTTTAGCACACAGCTTTAATTCCGATGGTCGCGGGTTCGATTCCACACGGCACAAACATTTGTATTCATGAGTATGAATGTTTGTATCGGTCTGGATATTTATATGTATAATATGTATGTATTTACGAAAAAAAATCTATGTATTTATATCAATTATCTAGTATCCATAACACAAGCATTAGCTAGCTTAACTTGGGTCTAGATGGCGCTGTGTGAATTGTCCTGAGATTATTATAAATATTATAAAACAAAGAGGATTTAAAATAAAAACCAGTCAAGCATGAGTCGGTCTCGTACACTGAGGGTTCCGAACAATTTATGTTAGTATATTGTTTATAAGTTAATTTATTTACCTTTAAGTATGATAATACAATAGTGAACTCATTTGAGTTAACAGCAAGTATGATATATGTATAATATATTGTCAAAAAATGTGTGTTAACTATAGGAATCATAAAAAGAAAATTACGCACAATCTCCAATAATATAATAACGATATATGTGTGTTAGATTAAAGATATACATAGATGGTAGACATAAATGAGATTGTTTATATAGCTTATGTATTATTAGACAATGCAGGGTTTTTGATGAAAATTATATTCTTATAAAATAGTAAAAACCATTTTAATTCACATTATGAATGAACAGAGAGTATTTAAAACTATTTCAAATTACTCATATGTTGTCTTTCTGAAATCGTGTAATAGACGGATTGAATGACAAAGTTATACCATAAATACTTCGTTTTAACTTTTTATTCGGACCCCTAAGAATATTTCAATTGATTCTGTAATACAGTGCTTCTTATTCGTGTACTAAAATTGATAACGCGTGGAATAATTTTCATCAAATAAATGTTTAAAATTTTTAATATACAATATCTATGAGTACTTGGGTACTAGATAGATAGGTTTGTAAAATAGAACTTTTAATTTAAATTGTTTTATTAAGAAAATAAGGACAAGTATTAAAAGAAATGGATAAATTATACAATTACAAACAAAGAGTTCTTATGAAATATTGTATTTAATGTGACCTCATAATTTTGTTTGATATTTCAAAGTGATTCTTTACTAAGTTCACTAACAAGCTGCAATTTATAGAAACAACTAATTAGCAGAGAGACTGAATGCTAACTTAGTACTAAGGAAACTTGGTAATAAATTCTTCCAACTTACGTATTCAATTTGTTTCATGTACAGCATGGGATTGTTGTTTGCTTGTACTAGTTGCTTCCCGTTGTTGTATATAGCGCAGATCACCAGTCCAAGTGAGAACATGTCGGACAGAATGTTGCATTGTCCGTTTGTTTGGATTTCAGGAGCTGCAACCAAATTCGATTAATAGGGCTATTTGTAACATGTGCTAGAAAAAATGGAACAAAGACGACTTATTTAAATATTATATTGCACCAAAAGTAAGATATTATACTGTTTAATACGTATGTATGTAATAATGCCCTACTGGTTAATATTGCCCATGGCTTGTTATAATATATATATATACATATATATATAAATATATCACATATCTGATGAGTAAGGTTTAAGATATCTGGTTCCGTTTTAATCTAATCTTATACATGACATAATATAGGTTAAAACTTAAAGATTCAAAGAGACATGGAGTCAGAATAATGAAGTAAATCCATGTAATCGCAGATGTACAGAGCTGTCTATGACTATATATGCCTACGCATACCACCCGTTTTAGTCTCTTATATTAATGAGACGTACAAATCCTTGCCATTTTTATGAGACCGAAGCATCAAAGCCTCATGATGGGATCTTAAAACTTTATTCTCAGCGCCGCCGAAGAAACTTCAAAACTCAATATCGTTCAGAGCTCAATCTTATAGTCTTTATACATGGATTCATTTCATGGATTTTGCTGTATATCTAATACCCAACTGTACGTCAGAACTTGTCTGAGTCTCTCGGATAGCAGCTGCTTTCTAAATGGTCCATAGAGATATGGAATTGAAAATAGATGGGCTATCTATTTTCAATTCCATCCATTATTTAATAATTGACAATAATTTGTTGTTTTGTGATGTTTTTAAGTAAGTAAGTAAGGTAGTAAAAATAAACAAAATATTTATCGATACCCTTACTTTGTCCTTTAAAAAAAATATGATGATGCATATTTCTAATTCTGTATCTGCTACTAAAATTGCGGTATAGACGTAAATACGACAGCTCATTTATTGGAAGCTCAAAATCTGTACGCATACCTATGAATGCACATGATTTGTGCAGTTAGTGCCATCATTGGGGCCAAGCATATTTGATTACCTGTGCATTTATGGATGGAACTAATTGATTTATGCCTTGATTGTAAAGACTTGTAGAGAATAGTCTGCTCTAACTACAACCGATTTAGTTTGTCACTAATAGTATACTTAAATTCAGAAGTCTAGAAATTATACCATTATTTAATTACATTCATATCAATCAATTTATATATGTTTTCTAAAACTAAAATGACAAATTCAGTTAAATTTATTAATAAAAATATATTAACAAATATAACTGTATCTATTAAAAAACAATGTTTAATGAATATATGTATATATAGGATTTTTTAAAATATAAACTCAGAAAATAATTTTAAACATTGTCTTATAGATATAACACGCATTGTTTTATTGCTTTCTGTAGAATTTACGTTTATTTTGTTACGATCGCACAAAGTTCACATGGCGCCACTTCATTTGATTTATATAGAGATACGAAATGGTCTAGTGCTTCAGTAGAAAGTTCAGATGGCGGCGAACCGCCTAGCGGTAAGGACACTATTTCGCTCGGCTGGAACAAAAATTTTACGTCAACTTTTAAAATTGTTCAATAACAATATTAAACACTCATTTTAACAATTTATGTTTAAAATATAGACACGAAATAGTAATTTATGCATAGGACAGTTGTAGCCTAGGTGATAACCTAATGAGACACAGAACACAGTTAAAAAAATAATTAATGGTAGAGTCAAGAAATGAAATAAAAATATTTACTCATATAGGCCTTTTCGGCCTTTTATGAACGTAATATTCGGCTAATTACTTCAGTTGAAAAGAACTGAAATGAATCTCAACTCTCACGTTTTTTTCTTGTTATTATTTTTAGTTAGTCTCAATCTTCAAATATTATCACATAGCTTTATAATTAAATAATTAAATATGAAAAGTATGAATCAATTCAATCTTTAAATATGACGGATATCCATAGATAGAAGACTGAACTAGTAACGCCTATTTCATATGTAATATTTATACGTGCCTATTGAATGATCGAAATAAAATGGTACTTTTATGTGCATATGAAGTATTCAGCTATGAAAGAATAGTTTCGTCTTTTTATACGAGTAGTAAATACATGGATGATTTCTCGCCTATACGTCAATTACTTAGCTATCTATTTGAGATATATACATAGTATAATATATGTAAATAGACAAAGGTATCCTTTAGGTTTATTGTCGGCAACTATGGGTGCCATTGCTAGCAATGTACAATACCTTATTAAGTCGACATCCTTGCGACTCATCCTGGAAACCATTGTGGTTTTATCTAGATGAATTCACCAACATAGGCTAACTAATCTGACTCTCATGTCATCCCATCCTCCACTGTCTCCGGCCACCTACCTACTTTTAGCTGAAGAGATGCATTTTTTAAAATATAAATACCATTAATAAAGTGTAAACTGTTTGTTGAAGTGTAAACATCACTTAAGTAGATATTATTTTATCCAAGACAACAAGGTCATGTTTATATTTGTATCACTTGATGCAGAAATGCAGTCAATATTTGTTGTGTGTTTCACAAACAAAAGCGGTGAGCGGTAAATTGAGAGGGCAATTTCCCGCTCTACAGGTATATAAATATTGACGAAGTGTTTAATAAATTAAAGCGATACGGCCATTAATTTTATATTGTTTATTATTAATATCGTCTTCTCATTTATCATTATCATTTCCTACCAAAGACTCTCAACTTGTTATTCGTTGATTAGATGAAAGTGTTTCCGAAGTTTTAAGATTAGCCTACCCTTGCTCACATTTATATATTTTTGGTAGTCATGTGAGCAAAAAATAGTAATAAATATATAATTTGAGTCAGTCAGTCAGAAGTTGTAAGTCCTAACTGACTGGATTATCATTACTAAGTCAAAACCACCCAAGCGATATACCTATAAGATTTGCACTCTTGATAAATTCTTTGTCCATAAAAAAATAATAAAGAAGTTCATAGTTTTTATATATGAAAGTAAGTGAATTTTGAACATGAATATTCGTTACTTATAACTCAGACTTAAATATAAAATTTGATGAGATACGTGTTCAACTTTTTTTTGGATAATCTACCCATAGCGGTAATTTCTTAGAGTATAGGTATAGATTTGTATAATATGATTGATATTGTTAAGCTCGAATCTTGTTATTAGTTTTAGGTATAAATCAAATATTATATTTAACGATTTACATTTGTATAAATCATAGTTCACTGAAATATAATAATGATAAAACAAGAAAATAGAAACGTTGTTATGAGAAGTAAGTCACTATTTAAAGAGGGGCTGAATATTTTATATCTGCACTTAGGATTGAATCTGCTGTTTTCTAAATTTATAAATGGATAGACGTCATGGCCCAGTTTGCGACCTCTACTTATAGACCAGAAAGTTTTTGAATTCGTTTTTGTGACATTAAACAGCTTGGTATGTAATTCTTTTTAACCAAATTGATCAAAGAGACGGTGATAAGGTGGCGTCTACACGGTAAATTTTGACTTCAACGTAACAGGGAATTAGCTTAGAGATGTTTCTCGGATTTTTTATACAATATCGCCATTTTTTTACTCGAGAGTTAGTGAGAGATATACATTGACACAAAAATACTTTATTTTGATGATGGTCATATATTGTGTGTAAAAATAATTAATGTTAACTTACCCAAGAAATCCAGGTTGGGCTGAGAGAGTTTAGCCACCTTGATGGACCACGGCGACACGGTCATCATCTCCGTAGGATCAGGTCCAATGACGTTTTCTGTTCAAAATAATGTTGATTACATGATGTTATTCACTTATATAACCAAGTATAATAAGACTAAATGTCCTGAAATTTTATATTATAAGTGTATTTGGTACCCACACTTAAGTTCACGCTAAAATTGCTGTATCTATGTCCCCTTATATGGTATATCCCTTTTTCTTGATCTCTTATTTGAATCATACATTCTGACTACACTAGTTACGTTTTTACTACTACAACTCAAAATCTCAATAATTAAATACTCTTTTTCAAACTAAACATCCTTCTTTATTTTGGTTCTCAGACTTGTGTATAATATGCTTACCCCATCAGTCAAGGAAATGACGAGGTAGAACAATTACAAGCAGACACGTTTGTCCTCTAATTAATTCACTATTGCGTAATAGATCTTTGTACCAGAAAAATCTTTATATTCTATTTTTAGGTGAAAATGTATAATAAAAATACGCAAATTATTTATATGTCTCATATATCGTCCTAGAATTACGTTTGATTAACTAACAACTACGACTAAACGGCTGAAACTGTATTAAATCAATGTGAAGATAGAAATTATGTCATGGATGAATATTGGTTGTATTTTATACAAAAATAAACAAACAAAATAGCGAGTAAGAGCTAGTAAAATATAAATGTGGTACAATACTGCCTCATTATTGAACTAGACGTTACCATAAGCTATTCAAAAGTTCTACAGCGGGAGATCGTCGCCATTTGTATTAACTCATACGGAAGCACTTCAACAGCGAAAGTAACGATTCCAACAGTCCGGATGCATGTCATTTGAAATTCTCAACACTAGACATTTTCTCAGAAAGCAATGTCGGCGGCTAAATTGGTGGTGCCCATAATGAGCGCAGTTAACATACACACATATATTACTTCAATTCACATGTGTATAATTTTACAATTACATTTTACAACTTATAACTTATATTATACAATTTATAAGGTATTAATTCAAATAGATATATACTGATAATGACAGAAAAAAAGATTTTATCTTCGATTATTAAAAAAAGCTATCATAATACTTTGCAAATAGAAACCTTCTCCATATTCAATAATATTTTTGATGATTTTATATAAGAATATGATATAATAACAAATAAGTATTTAATAATGAATATAATTTTGCCTACATTTTCTTTGTAATAAAAAATGATGAGCAGTGACATACAATATTATATAATACAATGCAAACACGTTAAGATATCTCATTAATGTACTGCATGTTTGTATTATATATAATTATAGCGTAGTTATAATTGTATCCTGAGGTAGATGAGAATTTACCTGAGTTTAACTCAATTAATTTCCGTATCGATCTATAGACGACAAAATAGAGAGTACCACATGGCACAAATGAAATTAGTGACACTTGATTAAACAGGAAGTAAACTTTAACTCAATATATCAATAAAATCAATATCAACATTGAACAAAAAAAGTCTAGAATCGTCTTATCGAGCACTCGGATTAATATTCAACAGCAAATGATTGAAATTAAAAAAAGTATAGATCTTAGGTATACATGTACTAAAACAAATTTTATAAAATTTATTCACATTATCTTTTTTGATAAATTGACGAATTGTATATATTTAATATTAAATCAAGTATGAATAACATAAGGTATATGATTTTTTTATTTAATGCATAAATTTCACATTAATATAAATATAATATTATATACAATATTATATAGATATATTAATATTACATATCGATTTTATTTATTTGGAGAATTTCATTCAATGGAATTTAACTTGCATTAACGATTGCTGACTTATTGTCACTAGCATACAGAAAATAAAACCTTTATTTCATCTAGTGTATATTTTCCGTCACAAGCACAAATGTATAAAACTCTTTTTACAAGTAGAAAAGTTTTATAACGACTTTTTCGCGCCAATAAAACTCAGACAGCCCTCTGCTCCATCTCCATAAATAGCCTAAACCAATTTTATAACGTAGGCAGTGACTTACCTTAATCATAACATTAAAATTAATGCCTTTGTTTAATATAAAAAAAGTATTACTATAATTAATTAATTGACATTAACAAAATTAGAATAATACCTACATTTTAGGTAATTATATTTCATGAAATTTGAAAATAATATAAAAATTGGTCACATTTAATTAGTTTACGTAACTCTTGGATGTTGTAATAGTACTTTAACAAAAAAATATGTAATAGTTAAATAATTATGGAACTTTCAATTTTCTGCTTGTTATATATAAAAATAAATCTAGCCAAAAATGTAATCAATACAATGTTTATATAAATTTACCATACAATGAGACCTCATTGTATCTTATAGTTATTTGAAAGGCGAATAGGCCTATATTTTTAAAGTAGGTAACTGTATTTTTTTCAGTATTAAATTTAATTTGAAGTATATTTCATTAAAAATAAATGTACATACATACATTATAAGTAGTTGATATGTATAAAATATGAGTAGGAGGCTGACTCGGAGATGGAGAGTTGTGTTGTTAATTGAGTTTTTATAACTAAATGCTTCTATCCATTTTTCAACAAACACTGTTCTAGTAGAGTAATTTTTTAGTGGCTGCCTACACAACCGAAGATTCTCTTTAAAACATTAGAAAATAACTATAGTTATTAGTAAGTGGCAAAGTATGCAGGTCAACTTTTATAACGTTAATTAAATATATAATTTAAGGCAGATTATTGAATACGTCATGTAGCGAAACGTATAATATATGGCGAAAATTATCAATTTAATTATGGATGTCTCATTATATGGAAAGTAATAATATAAAAGATGCCAGTAACCTTTATTGCTCTTATAAGCTGCAGATACAGTATAATACGTCTTAATAATCATCGGGGACTGCTCGTATGGCCCGAGAAGAAATGACTATCAACTGACAAGTCGATTGTATTACCCTATGGAATTATTAGGCTTATTGTGATTTAAAAAAATAATAGGTGATATATATATATATATATATAACAGATATATATATTCAATTGATAAAGTTATACAAAATTAACATTAGCAATATCTAAGTGCAGTATAATTTTAGTAAATTAATTTACAATTGACAGGTCAGTCTAACTATTTAACACTAAGGAATGTCTATAAATTTATAAATAATAATTTATGGTGGAAATTTAATGGTAGATGGACATATATTTTTAATATTATATGTCAGCCTGAAACCTATTCAGAAAAAAAATATATAATAACATTAATAGACACATATAGGTATGTAGGGGAATTTATATAAACAAAAATAACCGTGTAATCATAACTAGTTTCTGTTATCACACTATCACTATTTATCAAAGTGCTGCTGTTATAATATTAACTGTAACGTTATATTCGCTTGTTGCAACATCAAACAACAACAAAGGCCGTATTCCTGACTGACGATGCAAACAAAATGTTGTTATGTAGTTTGATTTAATCACTTGTGCACGCATTCTATAATAGTCTGCGATGCTGAAAAAATAAACCTTGTGACATTGCAATATGGTTTAGTTTGATTAATTTAAACTGAATTTCAATCGGTATATACATATTTAACATTGCATTTAAATGATGTTTAAATGAGTCAAAGGAGATTATACCTGTTTGATCAATTAATATATAACTGTCAATTAATAGGAAAACGCTGACGTTTTACAAAGTCGTATCTTGACTTTCGCTCCAATTAGCTTTTGTGTTTGTTCTGTATCGTAGTACATTTCTTAAGTACAGTTAATCGTCTCTTTAACAGCTTTCTTAACTCTATTACACAGGCGGACTCAATAGGTGCCGCACCGCAATATAAGGGCACATTAAATGCACATATGGTCGTGTGAAGTTCTTATAGAAAAAGTTGAGACATCGAAGGCTGAAAACCCCAGCATAGTTCGCATTATTCATAAATTTTGAAGTGGAAATTTAAGAAAGGACTGTGTTTAACTGCAGATATATGCAGAAGCAAAATTAGAGGCATCAAAAATTAAATTACAAAATTAAAATGTTAGGTAAATATAATTAGTTCCATGTTAGCATGACACTAACAACACTCTGGACCATGTAAAATTAATCAAAACATTCGAACATTAAGACAGAATGTCAATTCAATCTTTATTAGATTTCAGGCTGACGTTATATATGTACGTATATTATAAAAACGTTTTTTACTTTCGGTTCCCCCATTTTCATTATGTGTAAAAACAGAACGAATAGTCAGATAATGTTACATTATTGATGTTTACGGATGAAATAAATGGAAAACATTACTTCGATTAATATTTTATATCTATAAAAATACGAAAGTTCATATTTTATTACCAGTATATTTTGTTATTATAAAACAGACCAGAGATGGTTGTATCTCGTATTTTAACTCGTTATTTTTTTACATATCAGGGCCGATGGAGGAGCGATTCCTAAAATACTCGTTTCAAATTTATCAATCACTATATTGTGAAGTATCAGGAAAATATGTCTTATTATATATTAATCATATTTTTAGGCATTGTGAGTTACTCATATAACAACAAAATGTTTTCGAGGTTTGGCTGATTTTTAAAAATGAAAGAAGCTTGCTACACTTTTGTGCGCTCTCGACGAGACGAGATTTCGGACAAACTTTGTGAATGACAGATTATTTGAAGCGTGATCATAGTGATAGGGCTTAATAGACACTATAATAATCAACAAGGGCAAAATATTGCGTAATGATACCTAAAGTGTTGACGATTAACTGTTATGACGTTTCCAATTTTATATATCATTAGCTTTAGACGCAAATTGGTCCACCTGACTGGAAGATAATGTATGTGAAACAAAATATAGTCAGTGTCCTTCATCTTAAATATGTACTACGTGTATACTAAGTACTAGTCAAGGCGTAATTCTACGAAGGAAAAGTTCTTACAATATACTGGAATCTTAATTGTTTTATTCGACAATTACCTGTTGAACTTACGGATCTCGATAGTTCAAGGACATTCTCTTATAATTTGTATATACCTTATAGATTGATAAGTATTTACGATACATATTTGAATATCTATTCAAATACGTAAGTATTTAATATTTATAATACAATTAAATATTTAACTGTTATAATACCTATGCATGAAAATTGTTCCCTGCAAGAAAATCTAAATAAGAGAGGAGGAGTACTGGTTTTTTTAATTATACTTAAGTTACATATAAAGTGAAAGCAAATTAATTGTTTTATGTTTGCCCATTATTGTCACTTCAGTTGAGAAAAATTGATGAGAATGTCAACTAGTATATATTTTTTACACCCGTATATAAAAATAATTTCAAGAATATGTCTAACATATAGCATGTTTAATGTATCCCGTACCAGAATAACTAACGCCATACACGGTCGTCACCTAAGTATTCACTTACTGTGCCTTAATAGGCTTTACTAAAATATATTTAATGAAAGATAGATCTAAAATATTATTCGGAATGTTATTGTAGAAATTAATGCCATTCATTTGTAATCAACACAGCTTACTATCGTGTCGACGTCATATGTATTAACGCTGCCACGCCTGAAGTGTGTTTTCATTTAATTTCCAGCGCAGCATGTACAATGGTGCATTCCTTCAATTATGCCACCTTGGCAGCGTGAGACTAGCTCGCAGGGTGAGGTTTTCCTTATTATATAGTATTATTTATTTATATTATATTAATAAAACAGACTGGTTAGTTATAGTATTTATAATTGAAGAACAACTGGACCGACAGATTTTATTTGCCTCCTCTCTTAATAAGTATAGGTAAATATTTAGCAAAATATTGAATATTACCGAAAAATAAATCTAATATACATATATTTTATGGAAGGGTATTTTTAATAATATCCCGTGAGTAGTGGCTAAATAGTATTTATTATATTATCATACAATACATACCCAGAAATTCGAGTCCGAATAATTTCCAGGTGCCCCGTTTGGTCACAATGATTACTTGCGGGCACACGTTACGGTGTATTTGATGAGAAGTATAATGCAAGTAGTGCAGCGCTTCGATCACCTGCAATATAAACAATACATCAATTCCTAAAAATAGATAACAGTAAGTTCGGGTACGTTTTGATTTTAAAGCGAAAGAGTAGGTTTATCTTTTGTATTATAATATAAATATACTGTATGTATGTACATATATATGTATAATAGATTATTCAACAAAATTCATAGCAACAATACTAAAAACCAGTATCAATAACCAACTCTTTGTATAACATACATATAATACATATTAATACCATCTAAGGATCTACCAGGGTAAATCATAAAATTCATAATTCATAAATCACTGCAACCCTTAATACGTCATTTTTTTAATGTAACTAAGCTTAATTTAAGGTAAACTAGCGTTTGTTTCACGTAATGCTAAATTGTATATGTCCTTATATGTGTTACTATTCCGCAGGACTAAGGTTGTTACACATAACACACTTTCACATTCTTTTATTTTATTGCTTTATCTCACTTTTCAATTGAAACTTGCTCACAAAGCGAAGCTGCAAGACGACTGAAATAGGTGAGACAGGACTAAGATGTTATACATATTTCCACATCCTGTTGTTTTATTGCTTTATCTCACTTTTCAATTGAAAAATGCTCACAAAGCGAAGCTGAAAGGCGACTGAAATAGGTGAGACTGGCGTACCACTGCAGACGATATTTTACAAAGTATACCTACCTATATAGAAATAATAATAACTTATTATTATAATATTTATTACGCGTATTAATCGAAAGTAAAGGGATAAAATTAGAAGAACAAAATGGATATAATTATGAGTGAAATAGTATAGGTATGGTCTGGTCATAAATATGATTTTTTATAGAAAAATATGTTACTGAAGAGGTTTAGGAATACTGAAAACTAATTTGAAATATTTATATATCTATACTAATATTATTAATATCAAAGTGTGTCTGCCTGTATTTTCTTTATTACCTCGCTATTAAACGTCATGACGTATTTAATTAAATTTGACCTGAATAAGGTATGTATCACGAACATGGACGTAGGCTATTTTTTCTTCCAAAAACTAATCTTGTAGGAAAGAATATAATAGGGGGAAAAGTTTATGCAGATGAAGTTATGGGTAGCTATACTAGCTTAAAAAGTAACCACCAAAACTTTAGTATATACTATACTAAAGGTGACTTTAACATCTAAATACCTGTGAACAACTCGAATAAGTAATTTAATTTGAAGGCAAATTTAGGCGACGCTCGTTTTTCGGGGCAAATCGATTACGCCGACAAAAGTTTCGATCTACAAGTATTGGTTTTATAAAACTTAAGTATGCGGTGACTTAATTAAATTTTGTTAAACGTAATTCAAGAATTTTCGCGGTAATACTAAATATGACTAATTTAGAACTGAATAACAAGTTTACCAGTTTTCGAATAGCCCGAAGCGCTCTAGAAATCCTTGCGGCATTCCACACGCAAATACAATAGGTACCTAGTGCAACTGACTTTCACTTACATATTATTATCTTTTTACAACCTTTTATTATTCACTTACTTATTTTTATGTGCGTGACTTCTATAATTCTCATCGTTGCTTGGAAATTCATTAATGATGGATTCAGAAGGAGACAATAGAAACTTCACGTGAACATATAATATACTATCTTTTATGCAGTGTAGCAGTAGGTGGTAAGTAACTTACAATGGATGTGAATGAATGAATGAGAACACAAATTTTAAAATAAGAATATTAATATGGCATGGAATATTAACCTGATATTGCATATCTGTTTTGCTAAAAATGTTAGTTTTGAAATCAACGTTTCCGCTGAAACTTATTATGCGCGGCAGAAAGTTTTCTTTTAATAAAATTAATCTTAGTCGTACAGTCAGCAATGGAAGACTTTAAAAATCCAGCTAGATATGGCTCTATAACCATGTTGGAAATTCTTTTTCGGATTTTATTTTTATAAGTAATATAAAACATGGAAACTTGCTGAACTTTTTATTCATATGTAATCGTGTAATCGGATTATAAAGTCTTTATTTAGTCACACGGGAGATTGCCCAATTTAGCCCAATTTTTATATAGCCTGGACATAGGCTATCTTTTATCTCTGTCCCCGTGATAGAATTTTCACGTGTTCCATTAATTTTGTTCAGCCATTTGATAGACAGATGAAATAGATATACTTTCGCAGTTATAATATTAGTATGGATAAAAATATTTAAATAAAATTAAGTCATTGTTTAATTTCATTACCTCAGATTCTAGAATTACAGAGGTCTGAAGAATATAGTTAGATATATTTTCCCATTATTTAATAGCTATTTTAGTATCTGTGGCAGTATAAGGAGAATAGGTTATTTTCCCGATATAGAGCGCGTATTCAATTCGGGCTTACACTGACTAACATTGATGTTGACATGTAATCGAGATGTTGACATTATATTACAGACCAAAGGAAACATCTACTGTGAATAGCAATCTATTTGTTAACTTTGTCCGTAACTGTCGGGATTGGCTTTGTGTTGCCAGCTAAAACCACTACAATCGAAAGCAATATCGAATGCAATTTCAACGTTCGTGACTAACTCAGAATTTCATTAATTTCGGTTAAAGACAAATTTATGTCATGCATTATTAAAACTAAATGAGTCTCTTGACTGATTTTGATTTATGACACGAATTATATATTGACGGGATCAACTATATATTATTTTATTATTAAAGTTATTACTTTACGTTTTTAGTTTGTTTCAATGGTCCGATTTATCAGAATAATTTTGTATAAATTTTGAACATATAATAATTTTGAACGTATTTTGTATCACATTACTATGACAAGAACGCACACAAATCAGACACATCAGCTAGATAGATATGAAATGAACACTTGTTATAATGCTTTGAGGAATCTAGGAACTGACAGTCTAACAGGTGTGACGAAATTAACATACGTAGGAACCATTACAATCTCGAGATAATTCAATCTGAACGGGTTAAATGGGGTGTGAACGTGCAATAATGGAAAATTAATCTTCTGTATTAATCACTGTACGGATATAATTATAAATGTAATATACCACAACTATACGTCGAGTATCAAGATGAGGTGCTTCGTAGATAATATGTGTATATATAACAAACTTTGCGAAGATATCTACCTAATATGCTTCTTGGAAATAAATATTTCATTGGTTCATTCATTCTTTATAGGTAAAAAAATATACGGTAATAAAAGTAAGAAATATGGGGAAATTGTTATTCCTTTAGAATTCCTCGAACAATGTACACACAGAAGGAAGTATGTTTTATTCGTTAGTTACACGCCGGGAAACCAGATTTTTTCTGGTACTTACGTATTTTATCGTATAAATTTATTTGGTTGACATAACAAATTGGTTTGAATAATATCTCTTTTATAGATATAATGATATAATTGTCTGTTCATATTTAACGTTATCGCTGTGTACATAGTGAAGCTACGGGTACTGTTTAAGTTCGATAATTCCGAGAGGTACTTCTTTGAATTAATAGAGTGATGTTAATTAACTAAGCGCCTACTTCTGTTACACAGACAAAGTATTGGGTTGTTTCAGAAACTAATTCAATCGACAATTTAAAACATTTATACTGCAACGACATTACTATTGACAGAGTATTCATTTTATATTTTATTTATTTATGAATATAATAATAAATAAAGTGTTTGCAATCACAATAAAAAAAATGATAAAAAAATATATACACATGTTTAATTTTTTCATCTAATAATTCTGTTATAATATGTTACATTGTTATTTCTGATAAATATACCTTAAGTATGTGCACTGTAATATTCGATAAACTTCAGTTTGCGCTCAGCATTTTGCTGCAATATATTGCAACGCTGTTCCCGAGTAAACCTCAGTGACTGTAAAGTGTTCGAGAAAAAAGAAAACCGCGGCGAATACTGAGAGTTGTGGCGCTATTATGCTATTATTATATTTTATCGTTATAATTAAAGTTTTAATAGCATAATAAATGAGTGCCATTTTATGAAAAGCTATTATTTAATACTTTTTTAATATAAATTGGCTACTTACTACACCGTTGTAGGGTGATATAACAGATCTACGAGTCGAATATGGTGTTAACTCTCTAAAAAAGTATGTGTAAGCAACAGTCTTTTTTGAGTATCTAAGGTTGTATATTGATTTAACTTCAGTGCTTTAAGAAAAAACAGGAATAATTAAAACAATACATATAGTTAAATTAATAAAATAATCTAAATATAAAGGATAAATTAGTCGTTCATATATTTCAGTGTTAAGACTTCTTAAATATATATGTTAACAAAATATATAAACAACCTTCCAACTTATAAGACATATTATTTCGATTTTTGGACAACTTCTTCAATAACTTGGTATTGAAGAAGTTGTCTAAATCACAAATTATTATTGTATTATTATATCAATGGAATATAATATTTATATTAGAAAAAAATATGCACAATAATATGTACAGGTAGTGTGTAGCTATCTTTATCTATATTAATATTATAAAAACGTAAAGATTCTGACATTGTAAAGTTCTAGGAGCTAATATCTGGATGTATGTACGTACAATTAATTCAATTGTGAAAGTTGCTTTAATGTTAGATAACCTATTTATTGAGTAAGGTTATAGACTCAGGCTATATATAACATATCGATATGACCAATAGGAATGAAGCCGCAACTAAATATTACGCAGACGAAATTGCACGGGCTGACCTGTGCAATTTTGTCTATATGATATTTCTCGTCATAGTCTTTCTTTTAATTGTATTATTAGTATTAGTATTATTGTTTGCCACCTAAGTGGCATACAAAAAAGCCGTATAATTTAGAAGTATTAGTACAACAGATGTCTAAAGTACCAATAGATACATTACTAAAGGTATTAACATAGCAGTTGTAGCGAGTATTTAATAAAACAGTCTGTAATTTAATTACTTATTAATATGGTCGCTATAGTTACGTGTTCACATTTTGTACGTTACTTAGAATATTAGA